AAGATCGTTTTATAGTATAGTATAATTATAATATATCTATTATAAATATATTATTACTATCAATATAAATATTTTCATTAATATTATAAGTAAATATATTTATTTAAAAGAAAGTTAATTTAAATAATACTTATTAATGCTCATTTCAGTTTAAAAGATTGAGAACAAAGTGATCAGTAAACATTTCTTATGCTTTAGCACACACTAGTGGACTTTTCTGTCATTTCAGTAAAAAATAAACATTTTATAGAAGAGGATTTTTGTATCACACATTAGAAAATTAAGTCTGCTTAAATCATGTACCTATCATAGAACTGCAGCATGTATAAGGTGGAAGGGATCTTATAAGTCATCTACTTAAACTCTGTTGCAAGAGTCCTCTAAACCATCCCTGACATGTGACTCTCTCTGTCTCTCTTTTTATTAAAACCTCCAGCAAGGTGGATCCACACTATTCTCAGCAGATTATTTCACTGCTAAACAACTTTTAGCATCAGAAAATGTTGCCTAATATTCATCTTGCATCTCCTTTTTAAAAAATTAATCCATTGGTCCTTATTCTGTCTTTGGTTTCAAACAGAATAGAGCTTCCCAATACTGTATCTACGCATACGATCTTTCCCACCACAATATAGGTCCTTATATTTGTCACTGTTGAATAGCAACCTGTCAAAATAAATTTGAACTATCAACTTGTTCTCTTAAGGTGTTGGTCAATCCATCCCACTAATTTAGTGTCATCACAGGTTTAATATCACTTCAGTTCCATCCTCTAGGTCATATGTAAAGTTGAATGGTACAGGGCTGAGGACTACTCTTGGAAAACCTCATCAGTACATCTTTCCTGAACAATGCAGAATATATTTCTAGCAACTTTTGAGTGAAATTCAGCCAGTTACAAATCCAGTAGACCATAGTAACTTGCATTTATCTATCTTGGCCATAAGGTGTACAGGAGTATGGAGACAGCCTTGATGAAGGAATTCAGCAGCCATTAGATGGACACCAGCTTAGCCCTAGAAGGGAAGAGGGAGTGAAAAAGAAACTCAGGATTACCCCATCTTGATTCTTTTTGGTATAAGGGCAGAGAGAAATTCTGTCAAGTTTTCAAGATTTTGTTAATATGCTCTGCATCAATAAAGAATTCCGGTAGGCCTTGTGGAGTCTGTTTCCTGATCTGGTCTACCTTGACGGACTGACACAAACATATAACAAGATACTGTGCTGGATGCTTTACTGAGGTCAAACAACAGTATCTCCACAACATTTTGTAGTCTAACTAAACTAATTACTCTATCATAAAAAGATAAGATCAGCTGACAGTTTATTACTGACAAACTCATGATGGTGTCTGATAGTGGTAGTGTTCTTTTCTAAATGCTTGCATATAACTGGTCTGTATTTTTCTGAATGGTCTTCCTTCCTTTTTGAATATTAGGACGATTTGCTCATCTCTGCTTTTTTGGTATATCAACTAACTTATTTTTATTGCTGCCTGGTACAGTACTTTTCTGATACTATAGTGACCAAGAAGGGAGTGAGTGTAACCACCTCTTGTAAGCTTTTATAGTTGTAAAAAATATTGTATTGAATATATGCTACATACTACCAGAATTAAGTATGTCTTATCTTTAGAATGAATTATGGCCATTAGAAGAACCAAGACTAGTCAGACCAAGACTAGTCCAGCATTCTATTTCCACAGTGGCCAAGCAGGTGCCTTTAAAAAGTGCAGTTGCACTCACCTGTTTGTGATCCCCTCCAACTGATATTAAAAGGCATACCATCTTTCTTTCTAAAAATAATAGTTGGCTATTACAGGTAGTCCTCAACTTACAACCATTTGTGTAACGACTGTTCAGAGTTATGATGGCACTGAAAAAGTGACAGGTCCTCGCACTTACAACCATGGCAGTGTCCCCACGGGCACATGATCAAAATTCGGGCACTTGGCAACTGACATTTACGATGGTTCCAGTGTCTTGGGGTCATGTGATTTCCATTTGCAACCTTCTCAGGGGGCTTCTGACAAGCAAAGTCAGTGGGGGAAGTCAGATTCGCTTAATGACCACATGATTCACTTTACAACTGTGGTGATTTGCTTAATGACCGTGGCAAAAAGGTCATAAAATCAGGGTAACTCACTCAATGACCACATCACTTAGTGATGGAAGTTCTGGTCCAATTGTGGTTGTAAGTCAAGGACTATCTGTATAACAAATAACTACTGATAGCCTTATCTTTCATGTGAATCTATAAAAGAGAGAATAATGTGATCTTGTATCCATTTCTAAATAGTAGCCCATGCTTATAATTTAAAACATTCATATAAAGTGACATGACTTGTTATTTTTATTTTTTTTCTAATTATAGGTTTCATACAGGTTTGAACACATCACTAAATGGGGATGAGATCCATAAGCGAGTGAAAAATATTTTAAGAACACACAGTGCAAGGCAAAGGCTAACATTTGTAAGTTTGAAAATCAGTTGGCATCCTTTTTCCTTCCTCAGGTTTTATGGAAAAAGACTTACTAAAAGTTTCATGCAAGTGCCAGGCCTTCAGCTGAATATAGCACACAGAGGTTCCCTATTCAGTTTGCTAGCTCTTTCAGTCTTTCCTGTTTCCTCTTTCTGGATGCTAAGGACATCACATCCCCACCATAACTGCTAAGAGAAAGCCATCAGGGCTTCCTCTGTGGCATGAGACAGCTTTTCAGGAAATATCTTCCCCTTCCCAAAGCACCATTCAAGCTTATCTGGCCTAGCAGGGCTATAGGAGAATAAAAATGCAGTTCTGTCTACTAATTCAATTTACAGTACTACATACATATACAATAAGCCATTTATTCATTGACATAGGTAAATAATTCGGGGACGGAGCATGATGCTTTCTTACTTTGTGCCAGACTTGAGAGAAAAAGGAAATTGCAAGTTTTGGTATGTCCACGTACCAGTGTAATGGCATGTTTAGAACTGAGGGGCGAATCACATTCTAAGGCAGTTGGATGTCCCTTTGTTATCAATTAAGCGACCAGGCTCCTTATCAGTTCACATAGAAGCCATGAATAAGAGACTGAGAGTGTGTCCACTGTAGGAACCTGGAAGACCATTCAGATTTGAAAGGGGGAACACAATCCCATTGCTGAGATTTGTATAACCTTATCTTATCCTCTTTTCAATATTTCTTTGGTAAAGAAGCTGGGGAAGAATCTAGCTTTCCGTGGAAGGGAGGTGGTCAAAAAATTGACAACCAGGCATGTAGTGAGGGGCTCTACTTTTTTTTCAGTGTTTGATTAGAAGAAAATAGAAATAGTTCCTTTTCTATGAATTATTCACAGGTGCCTTTCACTTGTTTGGCATCTAGGGAAAAGACCAAAACTAAATTTATAGCCACAGAGACTAATCTGCAATAGTCTTTGTGGATTTCTGATATAGAATAATAAATAATTTCTAATTATTAAAAATATATGTAGATTTTTATTAATGTTCACATATATTATATTAGTAACCATTAGAATAATCCTATAAAAGTCAATGTTATTATCCCTATATTGCTGGGGGAAGGCTTAAGCTTAAGAATCGTTAAAATACTTTTTAAAAGGTAAGTAATATGTTTGATAGTCAAATAAAATTATTGTTTTTTAATCTTGATTTTTTAGGATGAGACTTGGTTGTCAAAGGAAGAATTTGCTAAGATAAGAGACTCCAGTAGGACAGGAGATTGCAAAAAAAGAGGTGTTTCACGTACAGATTCTTTAATCAGTAATGTTCAGAGCAGGTAAGGTCTCTTCCCATTATGCTTCCCCACTTATGGTCCCCACTTTCCATTAGTCTGTTTTTTGTTTTTGTTTTTTTCTCAGTTGTCAGTCCAGCCCCATATTCTCTCTGAAGTAACTTTAGACCTTATGTGGTTAATATTTATTATGTAGATACTATAGCTGTTAGTAACTAAATTTATATAACTTTTCGCACTAATTACATTCAGACATTTGTGCTTGATATTTACTATGTTTGAACCATGGTTCAACCCAAAGTTAGGTACAGTTACTGTAACTTCTGTTGATTTCAGTAGATGCAACTTTCTGTCTCTCTTTGTCTTCTGCCTCCTCCTGCCTTACATTACTTTAATGACATAACAGCCATTGTATCTGCTTTCCATGTCAGCGGGATAACTGGGATAGCATGATAATGCCCAGAATTATGTGCCTGTGTTTGCAGCTCATCTTTATATAGGAACTAACACTCCTGAGTATTATGTCATTGCGTGTATAAGTAAGAGCCACTCCCTCTATGAGGTAAGACTTTTCACAGTGTATTGGCGACACTGGAAGAAGAAACACTGTACCATTTCAGTGCCATATAGGAACATAACAGATTATACTAACTCAGACTGTTAGGCTATTTCAATTAGTACCAGTTACAACGATTAGCAGTGACATTCAGAATTTCAGGCTGGAGCTTTTCCTCTCCTGCTTATATATACCAGGAATTGAACTTGGGATTTTCTGCATGCAAAGTTTGTACATTGTACTATAGTTTCTCCTTTTAACTGAGAACCCAACTCATATTTTGGTAATACCAACCACTCATATATTCTCAATTCATCTCTCCCCGCTTTTCTGTAACCCATATGTGTATATTCTGTGATGGAGTCAGTGTGGAAGGTGCAAGACATGAATAAAAAATCTGCAACTCTTAGTGATACAACATCATTGAGGATAATTGACTTTGAAATGTTAATATTCAAGTAGGGTCAGACATTGATGGGTTTGTCCCATTCTCTAGACCAGTGAAGCGTGTTGGGAAATAAGGAGGCTCAAGGATATTCTGACAGTTTCAAGTCTGAAGATGTCCTCATAAATAGCATGCCACGGTAGAGTTCAAAGGAGAAAGTAGTTTTGCTGACCAAATGTTCACACTAAAATACATTATTGAAAACCACTGGGACTACACAGAAGATCTGTGATGCTGAAATATTTAGTGTGAAAGTGACTTTGAAAGGAACTTGTGAAACTCTAAAGGATATGGAACAAAAGGATGTGACAGGTTCATGACAGGTATTTTTGAAAGTGGGGTGAGTGCCATTATCCTGCTCTTAATACAATTTGTGCTTGTAATCCCCAGATCACTTCACTTTAGCTTGTCAGGATAGTTTTCAGTTAAGATAGCACTTTTTCCAACATGGATGTAGATCTGTCCATTCCATTGTTGGATTTCTTATGAGGAAAGGATGGGTAATTGCCCTGCATGAAAGTGACCTTGTCAGTATGCTGATCTGAAATCAACAAAAATCACTGCCACTCTTTATAAGTAAGTCTTAGGCTGTTGTGGTTGGCTTTAAGTGAAAGAGCCTGGATTTGTTAGAAGCAGACTTTGAATAGTAGTCTCTTGGTGAATCCAGATTATTATGGTTAGTTTGAAGTTGCTTGTTTCAGATGCAAGGCCAAGAATGAAAGTGTGAAAAACTCAGAATTTGGCACATGCAGATATGTTTAGGGTGTAATCAACAAACTGTTCTCTTGATTAATACTTGACTGGTAAAAGCTATTCTAAAAATGCTGATTCCTCTGAGAGGAGAGTGATCAAACCCTTTATTTGAAAGGGAAAGGCACAGAATGCTGTTTCTGGATACATTTAAGTCACACACATGCTAGTTTTACTTCTTCTCTTTGAGTCTTACACTTCAACCCCAATTTCTATCTTGGTCTGCAAATAAAGAGTATTACAATATAATAAAGTGATATAAAATATCTTCATAAAAAGGGAAGGAAATTTTTAAAAAATCCCTATCCATAATATTCACATAAGGAAGATGAAGACACAGAACTTCAATAGGTATTTAAATAACATAATAGCAAGCATTTCACAAATGTTGAGAGAGCATTTCAGGAGCAGGCTCCACCACAGACCAGATTCACGAGTAACTGTAAGATGGCATTCTGCTGGTCATGCACACCCAGCAGAATCTCCTTAGTGATTGTCCTGATCCCAAGTTGTTCACATAAGATAAAAGTATCAAAATTCTGATTGGAATCCAGTTCATTTACAGGGATTTGTGTTTAGAAGAGCATATGTGTATGAATGGAATCAAGGCTATTCAAAGTTTCCAGAGACAGATGCCTAAGGGCAAGTACAGTTTATTAAAGAAGTTGCATGCTATTATGTACATGTGTCAGACCTTTGAAGTTGGCAAAGTCAAGCCACAGGGATGGCAAGGTTTTCACAAAAAAACTCTTTACTGTTGTAGGATAGAATAACAGAATCTTGAAAGCCTCTCAGAGTTTCTCTTTGCCTCACCTTATACCAAATAGAATCAAGGCAAGGCTATTTTGAGTTTCTTTCTCATATTTTCATCTTTCTCAGGACTAACTAATCTTTTCTGAAAGTCTCTCCTTAACGTTCCTCCTCCATTCCCAAGGCCAGGGCTACATTCCTCCAACCTGCATCTCTGAGCTTTCTATCTTCTTCACACTAAGGAAAAGAGAAGGAAGTACAATTCCTGTGGGAAGCAGATTGACAGCGAGGTGCTAAGAGTCATCCAAAGCAGAGCAAGGACAAAGAGAAAAAGAAAGAGGGAGTTTGTTACCTCTGCTCCTAGTGGCTTTAGTAGCACAAAAGGTGCAAAGTGTTGATGCTTTTGGAGCTGCGTCCCAGCAGTTCAGTCTTTTATGTAAAAAAATAAACATTCAGAGAGGAGGCTCCCATGATATTTGAAGTGTGAAAAAAGTGGTGCAATGTGTAATCTTCAGGCATAATCTGATACTGAAGTGATAAGCTCACTGATAATCAGAAGCTCTAATCAGGTAGATTCAAATGCAGGTGCACACAGAAAGTAATACTACCATACATATTCCTGAAAAGAGATCACCATCACTGTGCAGAATATTCCAGAGTGGCAGACAGTGCATTATATTTTTAGCATTATGTGTCTTTTTCTAAACAGTATTTTATATAAGCAAAACTTTGTAATCAGCATTCATGCACTTACCCTTTTTTATGAGTAATTAACACGCAATGCAAATTATGTAAAGTGTAATAAATGATAAATGCCTGTTACGCTTTTCTGAGTTTAGAAAGGTAATGTTTTGCTTTTTTTTTTTTTTTTTTTGGTGCGTGCGTGTGGGGTTTGCCAGTTCATCCATCCAGCCAAACGTTATGGTTCATTTGGATAATGGTGAATATTGGACCAGTCAAGTTGCGGAGTATAAAAACAAGCCCCACAGAGCCATCTTTGAAGACAGCCTGGAAAAAATCTATCGAAACATGTACAGAAAAGCTTCCAGCTCACTTTCAAAGAATAAATAAAAATAAATCCCTGAAAAGTGCTATAGGTGAAAAAGAACAGTATAGAAGATCAGTATTTTTTAATGATGAAGAATATTTGTCTAATGAATGTATTCTATTTTTTAACTGAACTGTTTTTACATAAGTATGTGAAATTTTGAGACTGGGATTCTCAATAGGAAAATAAAATCTGGAGGATTTTTATTAGAATATATTGTTTGGTTATGGGATTTATAGGCATGTCAGCAGTTTTAGTTTCTCATTCTCAAACATCCAGGTTTCAGTTAAGGGAAAGTTTAACACATCTGTCCATGATTCTGCACTTGCACTAGGCACAAACACACCAGTTCCTTCCCTGTTGCTTCTGGGATTGTGTTTCTAATACTCTGCTGCTGAAAAACATCACCATCATCATCATCTCTCTGATTCATGCCACTGTATTTTTCTTTTTGCTTCATGTATGTGAGTGGTGATGAGAAGATTATGAACTGGGGCCATAGCACCAACTTTTCCAGGACCATAACACTGGAAGTTATTAAACTTTCCAGAAGTGAAAAAAATGAAACTATAATTAATAACTAATTAACACTATATATTATATAATATTTGAGGCTAATGATATACAAGGTAGTCTAATAAGCAGCTGGCAATCTCTGAGAATTTAGCAAATAACTCAGTTCAGTGAGAGAAAGGAAAGGAGTTCATAGGAGTCTATTCAGTTAAACGAAGAAAAGATTGAAGCAGGGGTTCAGAGAGTGGCAGGAGAAATGGTGGAGGTTTCAAGAAGTTCCACAGTTCAAAAAGAACAATGAGGAACTGGAGAGAGTTTGGAGGAGGACTACCAAAGTAGTGTGATGTCTAGAAATCAAGCCTATGAGAACAAAGGATTTTGATAATTTGATTTGCAGAAAAAACAAATGAGGGGAAATATGATAGCAATTTCCAAATATCTGAAGGGTTGTCACACAAATGAGGCAGTGAATATAATCTCCATTGTTCCAGAGGACAGGACAGGAACCAGTAAGTTACAGTTACAAGAAGGAGTTTCAGGCTTGATATCAGGAGGAACTTCCTGATTGTACGAGCTATCAGCCTGTGAAAAAGGCTGCCACATGAAATGTTGATTTCTCCACTGGAGGTCTTTAAGCAGAGGCTGGATCATGATCTGTCAGATCCTGCACTGAGCAGGGACATGACCACTAAGGTCCCTTCCAAGTTGATGATTCTAAGTGATTTGTTTTACTTTAGTGTTCAGCTACAGAAGGACAAAAAAAAAATGTTGCCACCACAAAGAAAGCCAGAATTTTGGAAGCTTCCTGCCACAGCAGAGGGAGAGGAATTTACAACATGCAATGTTCATGTACACAGACACATGTGCTAAGCAGAACTACTTTTTTGCACAAGCACCCCTTTGCTTGGGAATGAGAATAAAATACAATATTTCTGAATTGAAGAGGGAGAGAGAGAAGGGAAAGGAGTAACTTCTTTTCCATGCTTAGCTCTTGTGCACACCTATATCTGGTCCTCAGTGGTCAGTGTTGGGTTCTGTAGCAGTTGGAAGGGCAGAAAGATGGAGGTCCATCTCAGTAGCTCCTTGCTTAGTGTACTCCTTGGTTTCTGAGGCCGTGTTTCTCTTGGAGGCCAGTTCAAAAAAGGGGTGTTGGTATACTGTACCATTTCTTGGTCTGATTCAGGATCCAGCTAATAAAGTGAAGCCAGCTGGCTCTTCTAGGCTGTGAAACCCAGCCAAGCAGGGCTGCCTCAGGGACCCAGGAAGACACTGCTTCCAAAGTGTAAAAAAGGCAAAGTGGGGGTGGGGGGAGGGTTGCCAGCCAGGAGATAACAGGTTCTTTAGGATTCAGAGACAATAGGCTCAAACTAAGGTGAAATGCCAAAAAGATTGTACTGAATAAATATTAAGAGAGTTACAGAGAAAGGAGGGAGGGAGGGATCCATTTGACTTGCCAGACAGACATCCTGGAACCAGTAGTTGTGCTCTTAGGGCTTAGGTTCTTCATTGAGGCTTAAACTCCGCTTGGGGCTTTTGTCACATTTTTATACTTTTCATAATAGAGATGGAGTATAAAAAAATAACACCTGGAGATGGCTTGGTAAGCACATCTCATCAGGAACTTGTTCATAACTCCAGGCAGTGGACCCTCTGCCAGACACATTTGTAAGTAAACCTGGGTCCTTACCAGACACCACCTGGGGATAGTCTGATGACATCTCTGGCCCATAACTTGGGAATTTGGATAACTGGCCCACTGCCAAAGACAAGGCATCATTTCTAGCAGCCCACACCTGGGGTTGATCCGATGACATATCTGGTCAATAATTTGGGAATTCTGACCCTTTGCTAAGAATATGTTCATGAGAACAGTGCAGCTGTTGTTACCCTCCCATTGGCAGGGATTAGATTAGGTAGTTGGTGTTGACCTCTTTATCTTCATTGTCACAAATAGGAATGCAGATAAAATCTTCACAGGTGAGACTGATAGAAGGATGCAATCCGCAAAGCTTGCTAAGTAACTTTTTCTAAGTGCAGGTGTGGAGGAATTTATACACATACTGCCTCAAAATGCGGTCTATACAGCTATTTCTTCTAAATGTGAATGAAAAAAGGGTCTGCATCATTCTCAGCCCTGATCAATTCACTGCAGGATGAAGGCCTCTTCAGCTGCTTTCCAACTGCTTCAACTCACTGCAAGTCATTTCCAGTTAACACCTTTGAACTGAGTTGCATCATCTGCTGAGTATTTGGTTTTTCAAATCTGTTCAGGTCAATTGGTGTCCAAATTGAGGATTGTGGTTGTCCACCATTGATCTGTACATCATGCAATAGGCTGGCCCAGTGCCATTCCCACAAAGCTTCCGTCCCTCCCACACATACACATATGCGTGTGTATGTCTATGTGTACGAATGAGAGACAATGTGGCAGACTGGTTCAGGTTTTGGACTTGGAGTGGAGAAAGCAAGGTTCTAGTCCCCCTTTAGGCACAAAAGCCAGCTGGGTGACTTGGGATAGTCACTCTCTCAGTCCAAACCTGGAAAGTTGAGAACCATCTATGTACCAATCTGCGGTGGATTGATTTGGACTGTTTTTTTTTTTTTGTAATAAAAATTCCCCTCTCACCCCCATGGGTGGTATGTGTCTTCCTCAATATCAGGTCCTCTACCAGAGGCCTGGGAGTTTGAGGGTTCTGCACAGTATCTTAGCTGTTCCTAGCACTGTACTCTTTTGAACAGAGAGCTCTGATGTTGTTCTTGGGATCTGTTGCAGCCACTCTCCTGGCTTAGGAGTCACAGCCCCAAGTACCTCTACCACCACTGGGAACACTTTGGCCTTTACTTCCACATCCTCTCTAGTTCCTCCTTCAGGCCCTGGTACGTCTCCAGCTTCTCATACTCCTTCCTGATGTTGCTGTCACTTGGTACCACTACATCTATCA